TATATATATATATATATGTACTTACGCTATATTATGCACTAAGTATAAGTGTATTAGGTAATAGCGTATCGAATATAGCTCATATATATATAATATATGTACTTACGCTATATTATGCACTAAGTATAAGTGTATTAGGTATACCGTATCGAATATAGCTTATATATATATAATATATGTACTTACGCTATATTATGCACTAAGTATAAGTGTATTAGGTAATACCGTATCGAATATAGCTTATATATATATATATATATATATAATATATGTACTTACGCTATATTATGCACTAAGTATAAGTGTATTAGGTAATACCGTATCGAATATAGCTTATATATATAATATATGTACTTACGCTATATTATGCACTAAGTATAAGTGTATTAGGTATACCGTATCGAATATAGCTTATATATATATAATATATGTACTTACGCTATATTATGCACTAAGTATAAGTGTATTAGGTAATACCGTATCGAATATAGCTTTTATATATATATATATATATATATATAATATATGTACTTACGCTATATTATGCACTAAGTATAAGTGTATTAGGTAATAGCGTATCGAATATAGCTTATATTCCTACCTATATATATTAAATTGAATTAAAATAAATTAAAGATATAGCGACCAATGTTGGTCGCCATTGTGTTCAAACGGTCAGAAATTGGCGACCAACTTTGATCGCTATTTTGGTCAAAATAGTCAATACACATTGGATACCAAAATTTGCGACCAACGTAGGTCGCTTTTTTAAAAAACAGAGTGTAAAAAATGGGTTTCCCCTCCCATTCTCTTATTTTCTTCAAAACATTTCCCCAATCCCTCTCTTCTCTCTCTCACTCTCAAACACCCCCTCCCCTTCCGTCTCCCTCCAGCAGCGACGCCACCGCTTCCACTGACGCCCGCCGGTGGCAGCTGCTCCACCGCCGTAGTCATCCACTGTCCAGGTAGGTTTCTCTCTCCTTTCTTTGTTTTTTTCGAAATACACTGATTTTGTTTAATTCCTTCTAGTTTGATTTGTAAAAATTAATTGTTCTTAGCTAAATTAAATCTATGATAATTGTTAGTAGCTACTAATTTAGTTTTACCTACTAATTTGGGGATGAAATGGTTAGAAGAGAAGAAACCCTAAACTTTTAGGGTTTATGATTTTTTCTTGTGAATTATAACCCGAAATACACTGATTTTGAAATGATTTTTTGTTAAATTTTTAGGATATGAATTGAACCTTTTAGGATATGAGTTGAACTTTTAGGATAAGAAGTGAAGCTTTTATGTATGAGTTAAATTTTTAGGATATGAATTGAACCTTTTAGGATATGAGTTGAACTTGTAGGATATAAAGTGAAGCTTTAGCATATGTATTGAACCTTTAGCATATGAATTGAACCTTTTAGGATATGAGTTGAACTTTTAGGATATATAGTGAAACTTTTATGTATGAGTTAAATTTTTAGGATATGAATTGAACCTTTTAGGATATGAGTTGAACTTGTAGGATATAAAGTGAATCTTTTATGTATGAGTTGAATTTTTAGGATATGAATTGAACCTTTTAGGATATGAGTTGAACTTTTAGGATATAAATTGAACCTTTAGCATATGTATTGAACCTTTAGCATATATATTGAACCTTTAGCATATGTATTGAATTTAGTTTATGTTTAATCTCGTAGGATATGAATATAACTTTTAGTTTTTAGGTTTTGTTCTTGTAGAAGAGGTTGATGACGTTATTAGACATGCAAAGGAACTTCCACCAAGAATAACTAAGACACGATACCTGGTGGAATGTGCCTTTAATTGTTCTTCTCATTAGTGACAATGATGATGAGAAGGCAATGGCATGTGTTTAAAATAGTGATGGTGTAGGTAGGAATTTAATATTTCCTAAGTAGATAAAAGAAGAGCTTATAGAGGAATTCTGTACTTCATTTTCCATGAGGAAAACAAGTTTAATTGAGAGTGACAAGGTTGATGAAGAAGGATGGTGTTCCGTTGGTCATGGTAGTTCCCATAAAACGGGGATCATGACACTCTATGATGACAAAGATTATAGGAAGTTTTGTACTCAACTTTCTTTCGAGTCTGATCCGTACAAGCTTAATGTGATATTGGTGATATTTCTTCGGATTCAGAGAATGAACAATATCACATTAAGCTTGTACGGATCAGACTTGGAAGAAAGATGAGCACAAAACTTCCTATGATCTTTGTCATCATAGAGTCTTATGATCCACGTTTTATGGGAACTGCGACGACCAATGGAAAACCTTCCGTCTTCATCAACCTTGTCACTGTCAATCAAACTTCTTTTCCTCTTGGAAAGTGAAGTAGAGAATTTCTCTATAACCTCTTTTATCTACTTAGGAAATATTAAATCCTACATACACCATCACTATTTTGAAATACATGTCGTTGCCTTCTCATTATCATTGTAGCTAATGAGATCAACAATTGATCAAAGACACACTCTGCCAGGTACTGTATCCAAGTTATTCTCTGTATCAAAGCCACCAGACAGCTTTATGATGCCAATGAAGCAAGGAGGGTCGAGCCTCGACTACATACATGTAAGTTTTTTACTTTTCGTTAAGTATTTTGATTTACTTTTATATAAATTTTGACTAGAACCGTTACGATATGACTAGAACCTTTAGGATATGACTTGAATTTTTGTTTATGAATTGGAATTTTTGTTTATGAATTGGAATTTTAGATTGTTAATTGAATTTTTTTGGATATGAGTTGAACCTTTAGGATATGAATTAAAATTTTGGTTTATGTATTGGAATTTTAGATTGCGGGAGGATTTTGTAGAAGGGGTTGATGGTAATATTAGACATGCAAAGGAACTTCCACCAAGAATAACTAAGATACAGTACCTGACAGAGTGTGCCTTTAATTATTTTTCTCATTAGCGACAACGATGATGAGAAGGCAAGAACATGTGTTTCAAATAGTTATGGTGTAGGTAGGAGTTTAACATTTTCTAAGTAGATAAAAGAAAGATTATAGAGGAATTCTCTACTTCATTTTCCAAGAAGAAAAGAAGTTTAATTGATAGTGACAAGGTTGATGGTGATGGAATGTTTTCCGTCGGTCATGGCAGTTCCCATAAAACGGGTATCATAAGATTCTATGATGACAAAGATAGTCAAATCATTGTCTGAATCCGAAGAAATATCACCAACATCCCATTAAGCTTGTATGGATCAGACTTGGAAGAAAGTTGAGAACAAAACTTCCTATAATCTTTGTCATCATAGAGTCTTATGATACTCGTTTTATGGGAACTGCCATGACCGACGAAAAACATTCCATCACCATCAACCTTGTCACTATCAATTAAACTTCTTTTCTTCTTGGAAAATGAAGTAGAGAATTCCTCTATAATCTTTCTTTTATCTACTTAGAAAATGTTAAAATTCCTGCCTACACCATCACTATTTGAAGCACATGTCATTGCATTCTCATCATCATTGTCGCTAACGAGAACAACAATTGATCAAAAGACACACCCTGTCAGCTACTGTATCCAAGTTATTCTCTGTATCCAAGTTCATCCCGAGGATAATCACCAAAGCCACCAGACAGCTTTATGATGCCAATGAAGCAAGATCATGAGCTATTCAATAAAACTCGTATTGTAAAGAAGAAGAAAGAGCTGATTCAGAAAGGTGGGTCGAAGGTCGAGCCTCGACTATACATGTACGTTTTTTACTTTTCATTAAGTATTTTTATTTACTTTTATATAAATTTTGAAATACTAATTTAATATAATTTTTCTTATAGGTTCGCTTCACACCTGATGTGGAGGAATTCATACGCAGTCAGCCACCTAATGAGTCGGGCGAGGCAATCCAACATTCGGACGAGAATGTTGAAAAAACACTCCTTGAGTACTTTATATACTTTGAACTAGACAATAGAACTAGCTTTCGAATGGGCTTGTAATAAGCGTTAACTTAGTTTTGTTAGCTTAATGTGTTAGTTCTATTGAACTTTATACTTCGTTGGTTTTAATGTTGTTGTTGTTGTTGTTGTTGTTGTATTTGTTGTTGTGTTGTTGTTGGTATTGTTGTTGTTGTTGCTTGTAATAGGGATTTGGTATGCTGGCAGGTGGTGTAGCTGCCAAAACAGGCAGTTTCTCCCAAAATAATACCCAGAAAAGCGACCAACTTTGGTCTCTTTTTGGTCGCTTGTCATTTAAAAAAAATAATTTGACTGGCAATAGTGACCAAAGTTGGTCTCTTTTTACCCAGATTTCTTAAAAAGCGACCAACCTTGGTCGCTATTCCATTAAAAAAAATTAAATTCTTGACATTAGCGACCCACTTTTGGTCGCTTATTTTTAAAAAAAATTAAAAAAATAGCGACCAACCTTGGTCTCCATTTTCCAGATTTTAAAATATAATATTTGGATTAGAGACCAAAGTTGGTTGCTGTTTTATGAATAATAATAAATCAATAAATAATATATTTTACATTTAGAGACCACCTTTGGTCGCCAAATTTATATTATTAAAATAATAAAGCGACCAAAGATGGCCGCTATAGTCAATACCCGGAATATTTGGTCATTTTACCTTAGAGACCAAAGTTGGTCGCTAAGTGAAGGGACCAGCAATATAGCGACCAGGCATGTTTGGTCGCTTTTTGGTCGCTTTTGGGCCTATAAGCGACCAACTTTGGTCGCTTTTTGTGGTCGCTTTTTACCGGATTTCTAGTAGTGCTAGTAGCCTATTTTGTCACCCTTTCTCTTGAATTTATCTTTTAGCAGTAGCTCGTCACTTTGTTGGTAGTATGTATCGTCTAATAAGTAGATACTTTTCTTTTTTTTTTCTTCTTTATTTTGTATATTTAGTTGCAAGCCTACTCGCCAAGCCAACCATGGATGCAGATGCAACAGAGGAAACTTGAAATTTTCAGAGCATATACTGCACACTGCAGGTTATCGCGTAATATAGCACTTGGCCAAATATAGTACCTCCATAACAATATAGAACAACTAGGCATTTAGTGCAAGTTTACAACCACAAAGCTAAAAATTACACATACACGCGCGCCATATATATGTATGTATAAGCAAATAAATTAAAATACTACTGTACTTAGTAGAAGAGACAAAGAAAAAGTAGAATCAAGCTCTAAATGATTGACGAGGGGTGGGATATAGGTGAAGAGGAGGCAAAAGGAAGACTTCGAAGAATAAGGAAGCGGACCCGCCTAGGAAAGGGCAAAGGAGCTTGCTGGAACATATGCTCCAGCACCCTCGCTAACAGCACCATGTATTCCTCCAACAGCTCCGCCACGATTGCCACCAGTATCATCTCGATCTCGATCAATCTCTTTTTCTTTTTATCTTTATTTTTCACCTTTTTAATGTTTTCGCCGCCAAACACCTGTTGGAGTATATATATTATAGGCTCTTACTCTTTAACCTCTCTCCTGCCCCCTAAGAATCCATTTATAAATGCTTTAGCTCCTTGATAAAACGACTATATTATTAGGGCTCGTTTGGTACGGGGATAAAGAGTAATTAATTTTTCGGACTAAATTTAAGAAGAATTTATCTTATATTTGGTTGTGAAAAAATTATTGTACAATTAATTTTGGAATTAATTATATTGAGATTGTATTGTTTTAGCTCCATAAAAAGATGGAATAACTAATTGCGGATTAACTAATCCCGGATAACCATCTTTCTAATCAAATGACCCCTTAGTATTCTATATATATATGGCCCCAGGGTGAATTTAGGGGGGCGGAAAGGGTTCACCCGAACCCACTTCGCCGAAAAATTACATTGTATATATAAGATAAAATTTGATTTTTACCTCTATATATTAAGTTTTGAACCCCTTTAATACAACCTAAAAGTGTAGTTTAGTGATCAAGGGGGTTAAATTCCGACCAGCTACAAAAAGTTTTACCACTGTTTTCCTTCTATATCCTCCGTTTTCGTGTCCCGTTGTTTTCGATCACTTTTCTTCCTTCTTTTCTTTTTCTTTTTTAATTTGAGATTTCTTAATAGATAAGGAATACTGGTCCCGCGCGATAGTATTCCTTAAATAATGTTACTTGAAGAGTTAATTTTTCCATTTCGTAATTTAATCTTGCGTTTGGAGGTAATTTTTATGTTTTTATGTCTAAGTCCGTGAAAAAACTAAAACATCAATTCATACTAGTATATGAAATTATGAATATATTTGGAAAATTTTGAAAAGCCAAACTATCAGGGACAATATTTCTTTTTTATATACAGTCAAACTTCTCTATAAGAGACTCGTTTGTTCCGAATATTTTTGGATGTTATAGCGAAGTGCTGTTATAAAGAACATATATTATAACATAACATAAAAATTGATTCCGAAAAAGCTTGACTTTTATAGTAAAGTGTTATTATATAGGGATGTTGTTATAGGGAGATCTGACCGTCTTTACTTAAATTTAATTATTGACTCGTAAATTGTCACCACCCAAAATCCCTCCAAAGGAGCCGTGATGGCACCTAGTTTCTAAACTAGGTAAGCCTAACCTTTTCTGTAATAACATGGATATTTACTAACTTTAAATTAAATTACTCGGAACAAATTACAATTCCCAAAACCGGTGGTATAAGTCATAAGCCTTTCTAAGAGTAATTATACAAAATAAATACAACATTGTCCCAGAACGAGAAGGAATTAATGTGACGTAAATACAAACGAAGGTGACTCCAAGGCCTGCGAACGCAGCAGCAAGTTACCTTGAGTCTCCACCACGACGATCTGCACAGCTACTATCGATCAATTCCTGGATCTGTATACAAAAATGTACAGAAGTGTAGTATGAGCACACCACAGCGGTGCCCAGTAAGTATCAAGACTAACCTCGGCGGGGTAGTGACGAGGAACAGTCAAGACACCTACTGGTCATAAGATTAAACAGGATATGATAACAAATATCAAGATAAAGGTAACAAAATAATATCAACAGCAGAGGTAAATCAATCTACAAACAGTCGAAATAATAAAAGGAAACTCGGAAGGAAACGAAAGATAACCAAATAAATCAACATAAACATAGCTGGAACACAGAGAAGTAGAATGAACTCAAGTAAGGAAGACAGTGTTAACTCAATCAATCATATCGTTTCTGGTCCACAACCCCAGCCATCTCAGAACTCGATGTCTCATATCATAACCTCAACTTCCAAACCTTTAGCACACCCGGCACCTTGTGCCCACATATTTTCTCTCACTTTGTACAACAACGTTCTCGTGTTACTCAGTACATAGGACCCATAACTAATGCAATTAAGATGTTCCAGGAGTCTCATTTACATAACATAAAGTAGAGTACAACTTCTAAACCAATTAGGAACTCAGCAAGAAAAGATGAAGTTATTTTTAGAAATTATTTGAATAAAGAAAGTACCATTTTCAATTTAAAATACCACATCGAATGAATTATTACCTTTAACATGGGATTTAATAAATTAACTTAATAGAAATTTCTTTTTAAGTAAATTACAACTTCAGACGATTTAAGAGAATTTAATTGAGTAACTAATTGAATTAAAAATATGACAATTTTGAAATTTGAAGTATTGAAATATATATATATATATATATATATATATATATATATATATATATATATATATATATATATATATATATATANATATATACGGCGGGGTATTGAAAACACTATGAATTCCAACACAAAGGATCACAGCAGTAAAGGAATCTAAACAGTTAAAACACTTGAATTGATAACAACAAATAAACACAGCAAGCAGAAAGTGCACGGCATAACCCTTCGTGCTTTAACTCTCAATCCTCACCATGCAATCAATATTCACTTTAATTATTTCTTGTTGCAACGTGCAACCCGATCCCAATCATATAATACTGTTGCGGCGTGCAACCCGATCCAAATCATATAATGATCTTGCGGCGTGCAACTCGATCTAAATCATATAATGATGTTGCGGCGTGCAACCCGATCCAAATCGTATAATGATGTTGTGACGTACAAACCGACCCTACCTGTCCTCCCTTATTACTCCTTGTTGCGGCGTGCAACCCGATCCCATATAATATGGTTGTGGCGTACAACCCGATCCCATATAATATTGTTGCGGAGTGTAACCCGATCCCAATATACAAACCAACACCAATCACAAAAAGAATCCTGGCAAGGGAACAATAGTATAACAATAAAATCCTGGCAAGGGAACAATAGTATAACAACAATATCCCGTCAAGGGAATCAATAATAGAAACAATACATCCCGGCAAGGAAAATCAACAATAACCAATCTCGTTCCAACAATTAACTTCACAAAATGAATCCCAACTTGAGTCAATACTCAACAACGGTCAAATACTAAGGAATTACCATAAGCCTGGTCCAACATAAATACTCATCAAGTCAAGCATGAATAGTACATAATAAGGATCACGAAGAAAAAACAAGAAGCACACTAACCTCAACAAAGCAACAAGACATAATAAGCACGTGATTATTACACCGGTAACCACAACAAATGGACATGTAATATATTTGCACGAAGTCATAGAGGAACTCAGAATCAAGAAGTATCAAAACAATAAGGAAGGCAATCACTTCAATTAAGGCAATTAGGGGTCAACTAACACGTAAGAATTAGAGGAAAGCTAGCAACATCATTTGGAGCATATAGAGGTAAGTTAAGCAATTAGGAAACTCAAGCATGATGGAATACTTTGCACATAATGAACATAAGGACCTAAGAACCCTAGAGGCAAATTTTCCACAAATAAGTCCGAGCACACACTCGTCACCTTGCGTGCACGGACTACAATTAGCATAGAGACTCAAACCCTAAGGGGAAGTCCCCTACACAAGGTTAGGCAAGATACTTACCTCAATCCGGGAAATTCAATACTTAATTTAGCTTTTCCTTTACGGATTCATCAACGCTCGGCTCAATCTAGCCAAAAACGACTCGAATACATCAAACAATGCAAGAGAAAATAATTTCAATTGACAAAACTATGATTCTTATACAATTTGAAAAAAGTCAACAAAAGTCAACTCCCCGGGCCCGCACCTCGGAACCCGACAAAATTTACAAAAACCGAATACCCATTCCGCACGAGTTCACCCATACAAAATTTATCTAATTCCGATACCATTTGGTCATTGAAATCATCATTTTACATTTTTGAAAGATTTCACAATTTTTCCCAAATTTTCCTTTAGATTCTCATGAATTTGATGTTAAATCTAAGATATAATCACCAAATATAGTTGAAAATTGATTTGAGACACTACCCAATGATTTGGAGAAGTTTGGGTCTTTGGAAAATCGCCTATGGAGGTTTAGAGTTTGAGAAAATTGAAAAATGGGTGAACATCCCGTCAAAATTCTTAACAGGCCTCATATGTCGCATTTGCGACCGAGGGTTCGAAATGCGAACAAGGCAGGGCTGGCAGAAGTCGCATTTGTGACATAAAGTTCGCATTTGCGAACTGGGCATCGCAATTGCGATGAAAAAGTTCGCATTTGCGACCACACCAAAAACCAGCAATATTCCCGACACGAAAATGAGCATAACTTCCTCATACGATGTCCAAATTTGATGATTCTATTTCCTATGGCTCCGTAATTTCGATACCGATCTAGTGTTTCAATAAAAACTGAATTTGGATCTCATTTGCTCAATGTGGTATCATTTTTGCTTGAAGAAACGACGATGAAGCATCCAATAACAAGCGCAACATAGCCTAAACCTATCTGAAACTCAGCCAAGCCCTCGGGGCTCCAAACCACACATGCACGCAAGTCTAAAAGCATTATACGGACTTGCTCGTGCGATCAAATCATCAAAATAACATCAAAAACTATGAATTTAACCTCAAAACTCATGATTTTCTAACTTTTCAACCGGACGTCCAAATCACGTCAAATCAATTCCGATTCTCACCAAATTTCACAAATAGGACTTAAATATCATAACAAACTTGTACCGGGCTCCGGAACCAAAATACGAGCCCGATACCAAAGAGTTCAAACATTAATTAATTTATTTATTTTCTTTAAATACCAGCACAACAATTTTCTTCAAAAATTGTTTTCTAAGGCTAGGGAGCTCGGAATCCGATTTCGGGCATACGCCCAAGTCCCATATTTTATCGCGGACCTCCCGGGATCGTCGGAACACAGATCTAGGTCCGTTTACCAAAAATATTGACCAAAGTCAACTAAAAACTAAATTTTAACTCTAGAAATTACTATATTTTTTATATTTTCACATAAAAGCTTTCCGGTTTCACGCCCGGACTGCGCACGCAAGTCGATACACATAATATGAAGCTACTCATGACCTCAAACTGCCGAACCAGACGAAATTGTTCAAAATGACCAGTCGGGTCGTTACATCCTCCTCCACTTAAACATACGTTCGTC